TCTCATTACGGAAAGCATCCTCCACGAAGAGGCCTCCGCCCTGGAAGCCTCCCAAAGCAACCGCAAAGTTCATTGTGCCTGGCTCGTTGGCCAGGTGCCTGTGCAACTTTTCATTATGGTTGATTGCGATGCTAGACCAATGCTGGGACGGGAACTTGGAGCGGAGCCACCGGTTGAAATCCGCCAATGCTTGCGAATGCTTGTGCGTCTTGGGTGACCCCAAACCGAGCGCCCTGGGAGAATGCCCCAACATTAAAGTAACTGACGACAGCATCGGATGAAGCCAGCGCATGTGCCCTACTATTTCTTGTCGGGGAGGCAAAGGAGGACTGCAACAAGAAAAGAATGTCAGCCGCAGATGGCGGCGTCACCGCTGCTGCAGGAGGCACGTGCTCTGGAGTCGGCTGCAGGACGTCAGAAACGTGTTGCAAATGCGATGTCTGCACAAACAACTGGCCAGGACATGGAAAAGGAAACGGGCATCAGAATTCGACTGTGAAACACCTGGATCCTGCATCGGCCGTTTGCCCCTCGGCAAAGACGAAGCAGGCACCTCGTCCACGCTCCTCCGCATGGAGTGCATAGGAGATTCGGCATGCTCTGAAGGAGCATTGCGGGGAAGATCTGATTCACTCAAGAGCTTCGCATGGTCAACGGTTTCGGCATACGAAACATGGTCTTGCGCCGCTTATTTTGGGTCTGCTGCTGCTTTCTCTCGGACGGCGCAAGAGAGCCCGCCTTCGCCTTGCCTACCGTGCGCTGCAGAGTCTTGCTTGGGAGCCGAAGCAGCGCCGTGCTTGCTTTGGTCGAGGCATCAACAGCCACTGAACCGCCGGAGACTTGAGGACCGCATCGGATGCTCACCCATGCGGACGTGAATCTCCCTGTCGGCTTGCTGAAGCTGGGAAAAAGTAACCAGCTGGAAGCCGGCAGGCACATCCCGCTAAAACTCTGTGAACAGCAAATCAAGCAGCTCATGCTTTGAGTTGGCCCTGGGGATGTGGAACACTCTACTTGTCTTGTGCATGAAAACCTGTGGCAAGGCCGGGGCTTCCACCGGGATCCGGGCCGCCAACTGCTGAACGCTCTGCAGGCCTTCAGCGAACTTCTTATCAGAAACTGGATCTTCTGCCTACGAATGAACCTCGGACTGCTCCTGAAATCCGAGGGTTGCCTCAACCTCACTGTTGGGCCCTTCGCCGGCCCTTCGCCTTGCAAACTGGCCAACGCAAGATCGACGGATTTGAACCAACCGGTCCACCGGCCAGACCGCGTGCAGTCTGGAGAGAAAATGCCGAGGCGGATGAGTTGAAAGAGTCCCTCAAGCATCACTGGGTAACGAGTTTCTGTTGTACTCAAGGGTTGAACGGGACTTCACTCAGATGCTCAACAATGTGTGCTCAAGCCCGGCGATAAAGTAGCCACAACCACTCTCAGTGGAATCTAGGACAGGCTCGAACTCTACACTGTGCAGACCGGTTCGCATCAATATGGTATCCGACCAACCCTTTGAGTGAACAACTGACCCCTTCCAAGGTTTAGGGTTTATAACAAAGATCGGCAGAATCTGATCTGGGGGCTCAGCTGCATCCAGCCTCGGTGCTGCTGTGCTCCAGCCACGAAAGGTCCCACATGGACCCCATGGGATTGCAGGCGAAGGAGTCTGTAGACCACATTACTTCCTAGAAAGGCTGAGTATGCCACTCACCATGGATTCTGGCCGGGTGTAATAGGGCGACCGGTTGGGCCTCTGCCAGCAAACAATGGTACTGGGGCGCCTCGAACACAAGAATTTCAGTTTACCACGCAAATGGCGTGTGCGTTTCAGGAACAAGGTCTCGGTGCTGCTTGCACATTTGCGGGGCAAGTTGCTACCTTTGTCTTGGCTGAAGCAGGGATACAGTTCGGCTGCATGCTCAAGAACTCCTTGTGCTGCTCGCCTTATACCCAAGGGGAATGGTACCTCATTGATTCTACCCAACTAGGTGCCGAGCTGTTCCCGCTTATCTTGGGTGCGACTGCATTTCCGCTGGATCTCAATCTGCTACAAGTTCAGGTGATTATACAAGGGATGACCTTTGCTGTCCCTCTGGTCAGTTTCTTGATTGACTGGCCAGTTGGAACAGTCTTTGTTTATGCAGATCACCATACCGTACATACCCCCTTCATGCAGCTGGCAGATCTGAAGGTGCCATATATGCTAATATCTGCTCTTACTTCAGTGATTTTTCACATTGGTCGCATTGCCAGAAGTGGTACCGGACAGTTCTGCTCCTCAGGACCAAAGTCCGCTGGTCACGGATGACGGGGAGAGCCCTAGGCCTTTTAGGCTGAGTTGCAGCAAGTGCAAACCAACTGTTACCTGCTGTTTTATCTGCAAGAGGAGTCGTTGTGGGGTTTCATGTCCGGTGTTAGGTGCGGTTGGGGTTTTAGAAGGAGGACTGTTAGCTTGCTTCTTTTTCCAACAATGCGCGGACCAAATCTGCAGGGCACTAGCGGCTTATGTCAAGGACATGCCAGAAGCCGAATATCTAGGAAGCATGTGGGCAGCGATTCATGCCATACTCCTGTGTTGTTTTGTGGTTTGGTGCTATGGGTTGTCCTTACTTTGAGCTCAATGGCACAATGGCATCGCTTTGTGCGAGATCCTGTGCCTGACATCACTTTCTTTTCAGGCCTGCCCATCAGTCGCTTTGGGTTATAGTTGCTTAGGTGCCGGCACTACGCGCTGTGCCTTCACTTTTCTAGGGCTGTGATGTGCAGGGCACTCCCGCATACTTTTGCCGACGGCAGCCAGTGTCTGAGACACACGAGGGACAAGCTCTCATCGTGCGACCACTGTTTCTCATGATGGAGCTTCCAGGGTCGTCTCGGTCTGTACAGTTTCGGATGTGTTCAGAGGTGTTTGTAACGCCTGCGCCAACCTACTGAGGATATTTGCTATTGTACCGGGTGTACTCACAGAGCATTGTGCAGTGAGACGCTCCATTTCTAGAGGCCATCGAAACTTGCCGCGATGGGGGGTGGGGGGGCGGAATGATGAACCCCATGAGGAGATAAGAGACCGATCTTTCAATGAACAGTGGTCACATGACCTGGTGTCATGTGATAAACCTTGCTGGAGTTGTTGTGATTCTGGGATCCATGTGAGTAGATCCAGCACTCCCCTGGTGCGTTTGCCCGAAGCTTCATCACGCTGCTTCTGGGCACAAAATCACCCGCAAGAGCCGTGCATAAGTTTCTGGCAGCTTCTTTTCACAAAAAGGGCGGAGGATCTGCCCCCAGCGAGCGCAGGCCGCGCCTGAGCCCTTCGTGCCTTCGTGTAGGCTCTATAGGGTTGTAGGGAGTTTAGGATGGTCAAAACGGTTGTTTAAAACAGAGTTTTGGAGCGGTTCTTAGGAGCTGCTCGGGGGGATGGGGGTGCTGGGATGAGACTTTCACTACAGAGAAAGCTGCAGTTTAATACAGTTCAATACTCTGAGAACGTCGACCTTCAGCCCAGTTTGGGGTTTGCACACGCTGAAGTCGAAAACTTCTGGCGCCCAAGAGGCTTCTCAACTTCTCACAGGTTTCGATGCTGTTGACTAGTTGGATTTAATAGAGATCCCACCTGGTCACCCGAAACTGTCCAAAGAAACCGCCGGTTCTGCTCGGCTTTCTCTGCGCTGTGGCCATGGAGGAAAAGGCAGTTTTCGGGTTAGGTCGGTGGTGTGCCAAGCAGGGGGGAAGGCATCTTGGGAGCTGGTTCACCTTCGAGCAAAGGCTTCACCACATCCCAGCTCGTGGCGAAGCCGCGACAGAATTCAGAACCCTAAAACGCCAATCGAAATGCTACAGCTGCTAGAGTGCATCACTCCACAGGGGCACCTGGGAAGCCCCCTGGCCCACCAAAGTCGCCTGGGATTCTGCAGAGGTTTCCATGCCAACCTGCCTTCGCTGCTTCGCTGCTTCGCTGCTTCGCTGACGATGTGACCCTCAAAACCCGGGCAGAGGAGACAACTCATGTCAAAGTTGCGCTGGCTCATGCATCATTCACCACGAAAGCTAGAGGGGCGGAGTATCATCGAAACCCTTAGGTTGAAGCAACCGGGTTCCGGGGGGGGGGGGGGGGGGGGGGGGTTGGCCCCTGCAGAGCGTTTCGGCTGGGTGTCCAGGCATGTCTTTTGGGTCTTTTCGCCAAGGGGCCTCCACGCTTCGCCTGCAATATTCCGGCTCCCGGAGACCTCAAAAACCCGCGGGGACACCCCCCGTGCGATATTCATGAACACAAATCACTATTTTTCCGACCCTTGCCATTTTGTGGAACCGAAGAAAAAGCATACAGTGTTTTTGAAATGCGCGAAAACACTACGATGCTGAGCCACCGCCGTCCCGTCGGGGGGCACCCCAGGGCCTGGGATAAGAACATTGACGTTCTTGCTTGGACGCATTCTCCTGAGCCCTGAGCATGAAAGTCCCCTTCTAGCTTTCCAGACCGGTCCCCCGCAAGTGATCATTTTCACAGATTTTCTTTCTTCATGTTTCATTCTTTTCTTCATGTTTCTTCCATGTTCTACCTCTTCTCCCGGCCACCTGGCGAAGCTAAGCAAAGGAAGCGAGGGAGCGAAGGCTGCAACGGAACCTCGGAGGCTTTTTGGAGGAGGCCATGGGCTCAAGGATCCTAAGAAGGTTAGTTGTGCTCATGCGATGCCGCGATCTGCGCTTGACAGCGAGTGCAAGACGGTGGGACACTCAGCATTCCAGTAACCAGCTGGCAGCATCTGACAGCCATTCCCATGCAATGTGCCAAGCATGACGATGCTGTAACCGTGTCCAAACACAATGCACCTGACCCAAACACATGCCTGGCAGGTGATGGATCTCCATGTGCCAGCAAGATTGTGCTGATACGTTCTCCATGTCGTTTCCTGATGGCAGGTTGTTTCGCGGCGCCAGCTCTGAGTGTTAAGCTCACGTCAGCAGTAGCTCAGCAGTAGCACCTCCGCTCCTCAGCCAATACCATGGCCTTTGGTTCTGGTCGGCGTGTGAGCCTCCCCCCCTTCCTGGTTGCCATGATGAGCCAAGCCTTTCAAGCCTGCGCACAAAGCCACGTAGCCTTGGCAGGCATGGTCCGAGACCCCATTGCAATGTCAGGGGCCAAGGGACTTGGAGTCTCGGGGAACTACGTGTATGTGGCGGGGCAATATGATTGGGGCATCTCAGTGCTCGACATCTCAGATCCCGCCAACCCCACATTCGTGAGTTCTCTTGTGGGCAAGCAGCTCATCGGGTACCCCAGGGCTTTGACCATCGTTGGGGACCACGCTTTCGTTACAAGGGACTCATATCCTTATGCAGTGCTTGCAATCAACATCACCGATCCCAGCAACCTCACCATCACGGGCTCCTTCGAAACGCAGGATAGCACTGTGATAAATGCACCGAATGCCATTGCAGTCGATGGAAACCTCGCCTTCGTGACCGGGGAATATTCGCAAAGCCTGATAGTGCTGAACGTCACCGATCTAAGCAACCTCACGCTTGCAGGTTACGTCGCATCCCCTAGCCTCTCCAGTCCCAGGGATGTGCGGATCGCTGGCGACTACGCCTATGTGACCTCCTTTAACACTGATGCCTTGATTGCGGTCAGCATTGCTGACCCGAGCAACCCAAGCATCGCAGGCGTTGTTTCAGATGCGACGATGACCGATGGCCCCGTTGGACTTGAGATTGCCGGGGACCTCGCGTATGTGACATCCTGGATGAAGGACCGCTTGACCGTGATCAACGTCTCTGACCCAACGAGTATGTCCATCGTAGGCAGCGTCTACGACGGTGCAGCCCTAGACGGAGCCCAGAGAGTCCGCATCACCGGAGGCTACGCGTACGTAATCGGACTGTGGGGCAATAGCATTGCGACGGTCGACATCACCGACCCAAGCAACCCTACCATCACCAACAGTCTGATATCCGATACCCAGCTCTATTGGCCTGAAAATTTCATCATTGTTGGGGACCTCGCGCTCATCACCGCAAAGCTAAGAAGTGAGGGGCTGCAGGGGGAACACGTGGCGGTGGTGAACATCAGTAACCCAAGCAATCTGAGCCTCGTTTCCACCTTCGGGGAAGTCCCGCACAGCATCCTTGAGGATCCCGATCAGATTGCAATCAAAGGCAATTATGCCTACGTGAACGGTGAAGAAGGTTCTCTTACTGTGATCGACATCAGCGACCCAACCAGCCCCACAGTGGTACGCCACGTCTATGACCCGAAGCTGGATGGCGTCGAGGGCATTGAGATTGCTGGGGACTACATCTACGTGGCTGCTAACGACTATGACGGCCTTGTCGTTCTCAGCATCACCGATCCGGCCAACCCCACCATCGTGGGGTCCATCCAGGATGACGACTTGTTTGATGGTGCCACAGACGTCAAGATCGCAGGGAACTACGCTATTGTGACCGCTTATTCCGAGGACGCCGTGACAGTGGTGGACATCAGCGACCCGAGCAACCTCACAGTCGTGAGCCATCTGAAAGGCTCCATCCTCGATGGTGCCGAGAACATCGCAATTGCCGGGGATCACGCCTTCGTGACGTGCTACTCGGAGGACACTCTGGTCGCGATCAACATTACCGACCCGAAGAATCCGAGCATCACAGGAGTTTTCGAAGATAACCAGAGGCTTGATGAAGCCAGGGGCATCGTCATTAAGGAGGACATTGCGTATGTGTGTGGCCACGACAACAGCTGGCTGGTTTCCTTTGACATCTCTGACCCAAGCAACATGAGCATGGTAGGCTCCGTCCAGGACGACCGTCTCGAGGAGTGCTGGTCGGTCGCTGTTGAAGGGAATTATGCTTACGTGACCTCCGAGGACTACGACGCCTTGGCCGTAGTCGACATCAGTGACCCAGGCAACCTCACCATCGTGGAGTCTTTCAAACACCCCTGGCTTGAATACGCCAAGGGCGTCGCGATCGCTGGGGGGCACGTCTATGTCACTGCGCACCGCTCTGACGCCTTCTTCGTGCTCAACGTCGTGTCGACGACGACGAGCACGACGACGACTACAGCGGCGAGCACAACGACGACTTCGGCGGCGTCGACGACTACAGCGGCGTCGACGACCACCACGACCACCACAACGACCAGCACAACGACGACGAGCACGGACAGCACCACCACGACCGCAATGGAGAATGCCACGAGCACCGTGATGGAGAATGCAACGAGCACTGAGAGCACCACGTTCGTGTCTGATGTGAGCTATGCCATGCGAGCTTCGGCCTTGGCTTCAATTGCCTTGGCTAGTTCTAGGATGTTCTAGGTTCTGGCCATGAGCAAACCCCCAGATGAGTGCAGGCTAGACCAAATGTGTTCAACAGGAGTGTGTTCAATTTACTTTTTGAACTATTTGGCGGGATGAGCCTTGTTGGGTGGCTAGCCAGCTCGAGGGGCAGTACGCAGATGTATACTTTCTTCATTTTGCACTGGGCTACTTGGCCGAGTTGCGATGAGGACAGGCTTGGCAGACTCAACCCCCGCTGAAATGCGGCTGGCTGCCGGCGTGTAATTGTCCATTGTCCCCTTCTGCATACCGGCACGACTAATCTCGAGGCAGAAAAAGTGCTGAAACCGCCCTCGGCACAAAGGGCATCCTGTTCCGAAACCCTACTAAACCCAAAGAGCTGCATTTCGGTGAAATTGCACTGTATATTGTGTATCCGCTGACGAGCCTTTTCTGCGGTGGTACCTGCAGCAGAATGCGCTACAAAAGATGACGCTAGTCAATATATGATTTTGGACTTTGTTTGCACGCAAAACTGCATGACATGGGTAGAGGTAGGCACACCGTGCGCTTTGAACCTGCTTTGCGTGGTCTCAGGCGGCGCCTCATGGGGCAGTGCGGCTGTGGTTGCTCGGGCTTCTTGGACGGGCACATGCACAATGTGGCCTTCTGTTTGCTAGGGTGTAGGGTTTAGGGTTTAGGGTTTATTCTTTGGGACACAGTGAAGGGTCATCGAGGTGCTTTTGGTAGGCGGTCTCTGTCCAGGCTGCCGCTCCAAGACTGTTCAGAAGAGTTGAATGTTTAGGAGTCAAAGTCGGGTACAGCACGAAGCCTAACCTCTCTCCTTTTTCTTCTTCTTCTTCTTCTTCTTCTTCTTCTTCTTCTTCTCTTGTTCTTCTTTCTGCGGGCCTAGGGAGAGGCGAACGCAGCTCTGCACATCTCCGCATCTCCAAAGAGCTGTTTCCTACCAGTGTTCTGATATGCCGGCCCCCCGGCACCGGAGCCCCACAGGTAAACAGCTCCGACAATCTCATCAGGCCCTTAGGAGAAACCGGAAGTCAGTTGGCAAGCCCATGATGCTGCAAGGCGCGACTTACTCGGGATGGGTTTTGCAAGTTGAGCAGTCCTACGAGAAGCGCGCAAGGTCACGCCTGTGCTGCCGTGGCCTCTGCCTGCTGCAGCCCGTTCTGAGAGGCCCGCTGTCGGGAGGGTTACTTGACACAGCACACTCTGTTCCGGGGTGTACGCATCTGACAAACATGCAAGAGGGACCTCCGCAGTTTGCGACTCAGAGACCTTAATAGTGGAGATAAGCAGGGATCCGACCGCATGACATCAGCTTCGCAATCATATGGGGGTCATTAACCTCGACTGTTTGTTCGTTGAGTCACCGAGTCAGCCACCGGTGCGAAGAATCATGGAACGAATCGTCGAGCAGCAGCAACGCCAGCAGCAGCAACAACCAACAACCAACAACACACCAACAGCACCAGCCCCAGCACCAGCCCCAGCACCAGCATCAGCACCACCGCCGCCACCACCACCACCACCACCACCACCACCACCACCACCGCCACCGCCACCGCCACCGCCACCGCCACCGCCACCGCCACCGCCACCGCCACCGCCACCGCCACCGCCACCGCCACCGCTGCCACCAACACCACCACCACCAACAACAGCAACAAGAAGAAATGCAAGGTCACGGCGGCGTTCCGAGTGATGCTCGCAGCAACCAAACAACCCAAAGCCTCAACACTAAACCCAAATGTCTTTTAATATCTAAACAGTTTCTACGCCCCAAGCTCCTTAAACCCTTTTGGCCTTAATTGTTTAGATTTGTAGGTGTCACACAACATGTTTCACAATGAGTGAGCATACACATGCGACATTGGCTCAAGCCGTCAAAAGTGATTGCACCTGCAGTGTTAGTTCTGCCTTAAACTCCGTTCATGGTAGCGGAGCTGTCGGTTTGAATGGACAGCAGACGCGACCTTGCTGACGAAAGTGCTGAAAGTGACAACGAAGGTTTTGCTGTGGTGCAAGCTCCCGCTGTGCACCGCTGGGAACGCTTGATCCGTTTACTCTATCGGATTAGGCGACTGCAAAGGATTTGGGGCCTCCTGGGCCAGCATCTCCAGACTTTCGTCCAAAGCAGCGAGTTCCGCCGTCGGCTGGCTAATCGTTTGCGATGAGCAGCCAGGAACAGCAACAGGCACAAGTGACTGCAGCGCAAGTGATGCAGGAGCTTGTGAATCTGAGAAACGAACTCACAAGGCAATGCGAAGAGAATGATCGGCTAAGGGCCGAGCAAAGCACAGCACTTGAGCGAGTACGGCAAGAGAGTGCAGCTCAAGTTGCGGAAGTGCGAGCACAAGCGCATACGGCAGTGCAGCAGGCGACGGCTCAGATGGGCACGATGCCACAGTTGGTGAGCGACATGGTCAAGTCGAACAAGGAACTGGTTGAGGCCATGGCAAAGAAAGGAGGACCAAACGAGAAGCTCTGTTTGGTCGACACAAAGGGCCTGGGAAAGCCGACGACCTTCTCAGGTGAGAGTGAACAGTTCCTACCATGGAGGCATCGAATGTCGAGCTACGTTTGTTCGATCCACCATGATCTGCAAGAAGTTCTAGAGTGGCTCGAAGAGAGGGAGAAGCCATTCTCCTCGGAGGAGTTGGACACAGCCTTTGGAGAAAAGGCGTTGGAGGCGGATCGAGTTCCCAGACTGCAAGAAAAGTCGAGGGAGCTCGCGAACGCGCTCCAAATGGTTACCTCGAAGGAACCATTTACGATCGTGTGCAATTGCCAGAACAACGGGTTCGAGGCATGGAGACGCCTTGCGAGGCGATACGATCCTGCGACTGCAAGCAGGAAGCGCACGATGTTGAGAGCGATTATATCGCCCCAGAAGCAGAAGCTGGAGAATCTCCCTCAGGCCATCGAAGAATGGGCCGACGCTGTGCGCACTTACGAGAAGCGCAAGGACAGCACAGGGCGACGAACGACCCTGGCTGATGAGATAAAGATGGCAGCACTGGAGGCAATGTTGCCACAGGAGCTGGAGTCTCACATCCAGTTGAACCAGAGCCGGTTCTCCACGTACGACGACGTGCTCGACGAGGTGACTCGCTTCATCGAGTACAAGACAGGAAAGAGTCTGAAGGTGATTTCTGCAGCCGCAGCCAGTGCGGCGAGCAAGGATGATCCTATGGACCTGTCGTATGTGGAGAGAGGCAAAGGAAAAGGAGCAAGCAAGGTCGTGTGCCACAACTGCGGCAGGAGCGGACACTATGCCCGCGACTGCTGGAGCAATGGAGGCAAAGGTTCGCAGCAGCAACGGGGCTCACCCAAAGGTCCAGGGCAACAAGGAGGAAAACCAAGCAGCAAAGGAGGAAGAGGGAGCCCCAAAGGAGGAAAGGACAAAGGAAAAGGTAAGAAAGGAAAAGGCAAAAAGGGAAAAGGCAAGAAAGGTGGTAAGAACAAGAAACACGTAGGAAACATAGAAGAAGGAGGAGAGAACGCAGGAGAAGGAAACCAGGACGAGAACTGGCAGGAAGGAGAAGAGGATGAAGGCTGGGAAGACGGAGACTGGGGAGAAACCTGGGAGGACGGTTGGGAGGAAGCAGAAACAAACAACCTCTACGTGGGAGCGTTAGAAAGAGAGAGCCCGAAGAGAGAGAAAGAGAAGAAGAAGAAAGAGTCGAAGCCAGACCCCGGCAGTCGTGGCTCAAGTAGGGAAGAGGGCTCCGGCCCGATCGTGCTTGGGGCCATGGCGCCAAAGAACCCGAAAAGGAAGGTTCCTCCAAAGGAGGAAAAAGACGAGGATGAAAAGGAGCTGGAAGCTCTGGAAGAGCAAATGGACAGAGCAAGGGGTCAGTTCCAAGACCTGAAGGAAAAGGTGGAACTTGCGAGGAGACGTCGCCAGGAAAGACTTCTTCAGGAAGCGGAAGAGCTGGCAGAAGCCAGGAGACGTTCCCGCGGCGAGGTGCCAGGGCAGTCCAGCTTCGGAGCGTTTTCGTCTTCGTCGCGAGGACCTCCGGAGAGAGTGCGTGAGCCAAAGGCCGGAAAGAAAGAGGAGAAGAAGGAGGTGAGGCTTAGCCTTAGAGACACGGCACCCTGGAAGCGCGTTTCGCGCTACCGGGAGCCACCAGTGCCTGAGCCCAAGACCCCTCCAAAGGCGAAGCAAGAAAGGCCGAGAACACCGCCGAAGTCACCACCGCCTTCTAGGACCAAAAGTCCGCTTCTCAAGCCGAAGGTAGAGCCAAAGAGAACAGAGCCAAAGTCACCACCTTCGAAGCCAAAGGTAGAGCCGAAGAGAACAGAACCAAAGTCACCACCTTCGAAGCCTCCACCTAGAAGTGAAGAAGTGCAGCCAAGAAGCGAAGAGGTGGAGAGACAACTTGCTACCACAGCGCCGAAGTGGGGAGCCTCAAGGAGCCAAAGACCTGTGGCGAAGGCAAAGCCAAAGCTTCTAAGGAGTCCGGCGTCTTGGGCAGGAATGCGCTTCAGGGAACGTGTGGCCCACCAAGATGCCATACGAGACAAGAAGCCCAGAGGCACCGTCGGGGAGTCCTTACTGAAGAAGCAAGGCGAGGCCTGCTCCACCTGCGTGTCGAGGCGACTAAAGTTCAGGAGCAAAGCGTCCCTTCTGCTGAAGAAGAGGATGAAAGAGTACAAGGCAGCAGCTGCAAAAGCAGCGGGCTCCCACTACGCCAGGAAAGTTTTCGAAAGAGAAAAGCTTGTGAGGGCCGACAGGCCCAGCAAGGCTGAACTGAGGAGCGCAAAGGTAGCCGAGAAGGTGAAGCAAAGGGAGGAAGAAGCCGCTGGTGAAGAAGAAGAAGAAGACAAGTTTTCCTTGGAGCCGGAGAGCTCCGAGGACGAAAGCGACTTCGAGGATGACCCTCCAAGCGAGGGGCCCGAGGAACCCAAGAAGGAAGAAAAGAAGAAGCCACCAAAGCAGGAAGAAGGAACCGAAGGAGCAACCGCGATCACGGCAAGCACCTCGAGCAGCATGCAGAGGATGCTAGCGTCGGGTCTTATGGAGACCAACCGTGCGAACCTCGCGGTCTTGGACCAGAGGATCGCGACAAAGAGAGAGAAGCTCGAGGGACGCGGCAGTGACCCAGAGCTGGAAGCCGAGATCGCGAGCCTGGAAGACGAGCGGAAGCGCCTGAAAGAGGAGCGTGAGCGCCTCAGGGCGCAGCAAGCGGGCGTGAAGAAAAAGGAACCCGAACACCGCAGAGACCAGTCGGTGCACGACGTGCGCTACAAACGCCAAGTGGAAAAGGGAGACAGCCACTGGAAGGCTTGGCGTGCGGAAAAGGGACGAAGGAGAGCGCAAGAGCACAGACGCAGCGGTGTGGGCGAAAGAGCAAAGGAGAGGATCGAGGCCGACAAGAAGTGGCACGCCCGGCACGACGTGAAAGTGAAAAAGGGCGACTTCCGCGATAACCAGAAGGAAGAGGTCGACGGCATCGACACGGAGGTTATCCACAGCGATGGGACGGAGGCCAAGCCCGAGCGGCGAAAGGACTACCGCCCCCTCACGAAAGCCGAAAGGGCGAGCCACCGCGTGGATGCCGACGACGAGGAGGAGCTCTACCGGAAGGAGCTCGAAAAGCAGGAAAGGCCGAAGGCGACCGGGCGCTACTCGGCGGACCCGTCGATTGCGGCTGAGCAGAAGAAGAAGAGGAACCAAAAGAGAAACCAAAGGCGCAACAAGCTGAAGAGGAAGCTTGGGTCGACCTGGGATCCAGAGCACAAAGGAAAGAAGAAGGTCAAGAAAAGGTCAACTTTGACACGGGAGCGGCCGTGACCGTTCTGCCTGAGAAGTACGTGACGCAGCGAAAGGACAACGGCGTCCGCTACAAGACGGCGTCAGGTGAGGCGCTGAAAGACCAAGGAAAAGCCGAGGTCACCGGCACTTTGTCGGGAGGCCGTGGGGCCACGATCACCGGCCGAGGCGCCGGGGTCCACCGCATACTCCTGTCAGGAGCACAGGCGTGCAAGACGCATTTTGCGTTTCTGCACGGAACAGGAGGCTTGCTGGTCCCAAAAGGAACTGCTTTCGCTAAGGAGGCCGACGAGGCGTTGCGCCAGTTGGCTTGGAAACACAAGGGTGTCGGAACCAAGATGCAAGTGAAGAACGGCATCTACGTGTTTCCTCTGCAAGACGAGAAGAAAGGAGTGAAGGGCGGAAGCAAGGGCCAAGACGGCCTGGGTTTCACGGGGCGTCCGTAGACGGTGTAAGGCCCAACGGGCTTAGCGTTTCACCCCTAGACGAAGAGGCTGAGATGGTTGAGGAAGCGGCCAAAAGGAGAGCCGCCGGAAAGGCAACGCTCAAGGTGTTAGCCAAGGAAGACAAGAAGAGAGAGAAAGAGCGAGAGAAGAAGGAGAGGAAAACGACACAACAAGGAGCAAGCGCAAGCATACAAGTGCCAGCAGCAGCGCCAGCAGCACAACAGCAACAACAGCAGCAGCAGCCAAGCGAGGAAAAAGGAGGCACTGAAGACGACCGCTTTGCCGAGGAGCCGGAGGCTCCAGGCGAAGAACAACAGAGGGCGATAGTGCCGAAGAGCCCAGACCAGCCAACGGCTGACCAGATCGCACAGCACGAAGCCTCGGGGCACGCGGTGCACCGTTCCTGGTGCGTCCACTGCCAGAGAGCGCGAAAGATGGTGAATCCACATTACCGGATTCGGAGAGCCGAACTTGAGACATCTTTGCCGACGCTACACATGGACTACTTCTTCCTGGGCAAAGAAAAGCAGGAAGACGACGTGATGCCGCACCTGGTGGTTCGGTGCGACAAAACGCAGCGCACTTGGGCAACTTCGTTGCCCGAGAAAGGCACGCATGCGTACAACGTCACGTGGTTGGCCAGCGTGATACGCGAGGCCGGATGGAAGAGGATGTGTTTATTCTCAGATAATGAACACGCCCTCCGTGCGCTCAAACTCAAGGCCTCCGAAGAAGTCCAAAATGTAGTGTTCGACTTGAGAGAGAGTCCTACAAGTACGGAACACGAGAATGCGCCATCGAACGGCATAGCCGAGGCCGCAGTGAGAGAGGTGAAGCGAATGGTCCGAGCTATCCTGTCGGAGCTGGAGACAAAGCTTAAGATCGAGGTGGGCGTGGACCACCCGATTCTCGCCTGGATCGCGAGGCATGCAGCGTTCTTGATGACACGTTTTCGCATTGGCGAGGACGGGAAGTCAGCTTACGAAAGGACGCTGGGCCGACCGTGGAGGCGACCTACCATTGTCTTTGGCGAACAGGTGATGTTCAAGCCAGTTGGTTCGAGACACAAGCGAGGAAGCCTAGATGCAAGAGTTTGCATGGGACGTTACGTCGGAACTGCGTCGAGGAACGCAGACTTGCTGATCATGACGTCCGAGGGTATATCCCGGGGCCACTCCTTGCACAGGAGGCCCGAGGATGAGAAATGGCCTGTTGAAGGTTTCGACGTGCTACGCGGATTGCCTTGGAGGATGTCCGGTCCACAAGAGCGAGCGTCGCCCAACCGAGTCGGTATGCCCGCTCTCGAAGGCGAACAACCCGCGCCACAACGCCGAGACTTCAAGGCACGCAACCTGTACGTCATGAAGTCCGACATTGAGCTGTACGGCTACACGCCTCAGTGTCCGGGATGCGATGCGCAGCTGATGGGTCTCCCGCAGCGAGCGCACAATGACGAGTGCAGGATGAGAGTGCAGAGAAGACTGCAAGAAACCGACGAGGGAAAAGAAAGAGTGAAAAGGGCCCAAGAGCGAGTTGAAAAGGACTACGGAAAGCGGGTCAAAAGAGACCAACCCGCGCTGGAAGGAAGACCTGCCCCCGACGCAATGGATGTTGCAGCAGAGGAAGCGGCAGGCGCACCTTTGTCCAGACCAATGGAGGTCGAGGACCGCGCCGAGCCGAAACAGCGGAAGCGCGCAGCGTCCAAGGACGTCGAGGACCTTTACCGGGAAGAGCCCAGCACGAGGGCTACCGATGGTCCAGATGTCGAGGTCATTGGAGTGTTAGATTTCCAAAAGCCTCTTAAGTGTTAGGGTTCTGGGTTTTGAGAAGCTGTTTCTTGACTCCGCATGATCTAGTCCCGCTTTCTAGCGGTGGCTTACGGTTTCATTTTTATCTTGTGTTTGCCATGTGTCTCTGGCCTGTCGCCACTGCTGCTCGACAAACGTTTCAAAGCATTTGTAGGTGAACGGTGGCAGTCAATGTTTTGGGCCTGTTTTCTGTAAAATTGTTTTGCTTGCAAGACAGTTTTGCAGGATGTTGCAGACATGGCTCTTTTCCAGACCAATTGAACAATTCGCGTGCAGAAGTTTATCCTTCGTTGCCTGCTTTGCGCGCGGCGCATGGCAGTCTGGCAGCCAGACAGTTGTGGCACATGTTGCTTTTGCTGGCGGGCTATGCAAATGGATGCCGTCGCAAACGCTGTGCAGATACAAAGGCCAGGCTCCCACAATATTTGCCGGAGCCCACATGGTTCACAGAGCGTTTGAGAGAACAAGGTCTAAGTGAGCTTTTGACGCGTGTGCCGCGTGCTCAGCACTACAGTGCAGCCGCAAATGTGCGCAGCGCTGTGATTGAAGCAGCAGTGCGTGTGCAGCCTGGTGAAATATATTCAGGGCCTCTTACGAATTGGAAACAAGAAGCTCATTTGCTGTGGAAGTACTACGGGTGCCCGTGTGCCTCGTATTCGCTTTGTATAAGTGATGTCTGGCGCCTCAGTTCACCTGCAACACTGTCATCTGCAAGGGGCCATGCTGGCAACCTCAGTCTTCGGCACTTTTGTTTTCAAGGCAACGTTGCGCCGGTGAAGGACGACGCCGTTTTGCATAGACCTTCCAGCCCCCAGGATTCCCAACAATTAGGCGATGTCATGGACCACTGGGGCTTGCAGGAGCTCCGAGCCAACCTGAATGACGTGCCTGTTTTGTTCCTGCCGAAATGCGTGCTGGAACTAATCTGCAAGGGGCAATGGCCGACAATTGTTCTTCATGCTGACGGTAACCATCGAAGCGCACGTAATGTCAACTTGGAGGCTTTGAAGTTTCTCAGGACAGCCATGTCCTGGCCTTCCATGGAAGACTTCATGAAGATCTGCAGACAAATCGGTGCTACTGCAACTGCTCAGTTTTCTTCTTTCATGTTGACAGAGCAGAGGGCTCAGGTTTTGCTAGACCACGTGCGGGCGCACGCAGCAACCAATTTTCAGCATCTGGAGCAGGGAGAAAATCAGGCTGTGCAGGAAGCCGTCCAGGCTTTGCAGATCTTTGTCGATGGATTTGCGAAGACAGGCCCGGAGGCACGTGCCTCTAACGCGAAGAAAACTGCTGAAGAGCTGATCGCTTCCGTGAGTGCTGCGCAGTCTGTTCGTAACCGGAGCAAGATGATAGAGCTGCAGGAATCTCTACTAACGAAGTTCACGCCAGCTGAGCTGACAGATGCAGTTCGCCAAGTTGTCACGAAGCCCTCCAGTGGAAGCTCAGTATCCAAGAACCAAGTGTCGTGCTTGTTTAGCGGGTCTTTTCTTTTTTTTTGGGGGAGGTGTTTCCTGTGATGTCAGAGCCTTCTTTCGGATGTTCATGACGCAATCGCTGAGGTCAAGGTTGATGCTGCCTACGCTTTGTGTGTTCGCGAAGAGCTCAGGAAGGATTCTGGGCCCATTTTCGTTTGGGCCGACTCCAGTCCGCAGGCAGGCTCTGACTATCTCCTCTCGTGCTACGTGACCATAAGCAGGGATAGTGTGGTACAGTGCTGGGACCATTTTGAGCAGCTTGTTGCGTCAGTGGAAGATTTTCAAATTGCTGTCAGTGAGAAAGAGCCAGAGCTCTTGCTAGAATGCGTAGCAGTTCGATCTGCGTCGGGCAGGTTTTTGGTCAAGAATATGAAGAAACACTGTCAAATGCCAATGTCGCTAGGTAGCGGATGCACGAATGTTGAAGACAAAGGTAAGGCTATGGCTGTGAAGTTTCACCGCGAAACGGGGGACGTCGTGCTGCTCTCAGATGTCTGTCAACGTGTTGCCAGCTTTACGACCGATATGGGCACCGAGCTTGGTGTGCCTGATCTTGCAGGGGGAAATGTTCAAGCATACCTGCCAGACTACATGAGGTCGGGTCTTGTGCCAGAGCTTGATGGCATGGAGGGTCTCTTCGCAGAAATGCCACCTGTCATTGCGCCGCATCTTTTCCCACGTGCTCTTGTTGTCCCCGGTTTAGATCACATTGCGCACAACTTGCAAGAAGACTTGGATAAGCACCTTCGGTCATGGTCTTCCTGGCTTCCCGGATTCAAGGGGCTTTGCCTTCTGCTCAGCAAAAAGCACCTTCTGAAGAGGCTCATCGCGACGTGCATTGAAGGCACCCCACTCTCATCATTGAAAGGAATCTTTGAGAGCACGGTGCCCTCAATTGCGAAATGGAGATGGGGCACGATATGCAAAACTCTGCCAGCTGTGCTTTCGGTTTTCAAGCCTTTAAAACTCGTGTGGAACGCTGAGAAGTTTCAGAAACAAAATCGTTCTGGGGGTGATCCTCTTGAAGATGGCGCCGATCAGGCAGAACAGGAGGAAGATGAAGATATGAAGGTCCTGAAAGTGGGTGACATTACTTCTGCTTTGAGGAGTGATTTTTGGTTGGCGTATGCACACATGCTGCTAAGTTTGCACGAAATTGGAAATCGAATATCCAGTTGGGCTTCTGGTTGCCCTTGCCATGGCTGGCTGCAGGCAAAACCGAATGCTGGCCCTGGTGTTGAGAACCATTGGGATGTTTACTTGCGTGAAATTGTCCGTGCACGTGGCCTGCCTCTTCAGGAAGATGGGGCAGCTTTCTCCTGCCCCATGGCCGGCAAAAGGGCGCCGGAGTTGGCCAGCGGATGCTTGACTGAGATTTTAAACTCGACTGCCGATGCCAAGAAGCCTGATGTTCTGATAGCAGCTGCTGGACTGGGCAGGGAGATGCACGACAGCGTCATCACGGATTTTCAGACTGGCGTGGATTTCATTTCTTTGACTGTCAGTATCAAATTGGGGTTTTGGAAAGACTTCCCTTGGAGGCTTTGCTCTTTGATGGTTCCTGGAATCAGCGCTGAATAGAGGGCACAGAAGGCCCAAGAAATCCTATCAACTTTTGAAAGTCTTCCGCAGCACCAAGAAGCCCATCATCGAATTACATGGCATTTCATGCAGCCGCAGTCAGCTTTGCGCGAGCAGCTGGAGAAGCTTGCATCGTGCACGCACACTCTTAAAGATCTTCCAGAGCTGCAGTATGAATTGTGTGTGCTTGGTTTCATGCCGGTGGTGGAGCGTGTCGTGGAAGGGCAGCACTCTTTGGTTCATCGTCACACAGGTTATCGTCAGGTCAGCGGGGCCTATGTATCTCTTAGTCTCCGTATGAATCAAATCAACGACTTTATGGCCACAGAGGCGGGTGAGCAATTGATGATCAACATGTTCGACAAAATCAGAAAGCCCAAGCTGCTTGCAAAGACCTTCAAATTCGATGAGCACCCAGAGTGGCTAGCTGCTCTCAGCAAGGGGAAGCAGGGCCAGCCTCGCCTCGGAAGGATCGCTGTAGCCATCATGTACATGAACGACATCGCTTTGCAGTTCCTGAAGCTAACCTCTGTCCGCAAGCAAAACAAACAACATCGCAAGCAAGAGGAAAAAGAACGACAGAAGTTGCAAAGGCAGGCACGCCCAGTCGAGCCAGTTTCGGAAGAGGTGGTCTTGAGACGACTTTTCGCAGCTCACGTTGCCAGCTCGTTGGTTCCAGGAGAGTTCTACTCAATGCCAGCCAGTGTGTTCCAAGCATCAGTCTCATCCCTGAATTCTGCGATGCAATTTGCTCCAGCCCCTGCGCGTGCCATCGAAAACAACGAAGAAGCACTCTTGAAAGATGCTGAGGTGGCTGTGCAGCCTCCAGGTAGCGATTGTCGCCAAGACATTTTCTTCAAGGTCTTGTCGACCAGATCAGGCTTTCTCAGGACTGTGCGTCGTGCCCCTGCCAGTCAGCGTCGGTTGAACAGGAATGACATTGCTTTAACATTCCACAAAGCTGTGCCAGGGCAGAGCAATCCGGAAGCTTGCGTGGTGCAATCAGAGCCAGTCATGTGTTCAGCAGGGGGTAACGCAGTTCACGTTCTTAGCTCTGTTGGTATGGATGCCGACAAGATGGAAGACATGTTGCGATGGCAGCCAGGCGACCAGGACTGTGTCATGACCTTGCCGAACTATTCAGGTACCATGGATGCCAGACTGTTGGGACAGCTTGTTTCTCACAAGGCCTTTGTTGGCCAGCCCACGCGCATGCCTGAGGCTTCTGTGCCAGCAAACATGCGAGCCACATTGCAGGACATGCAGCACGATGGCTGGGTAGTGTCTGATTCTCAGGGTTGGCAACTGACTAGAGATGCTCTGGCCAAGCTGTCTTTATCTTATTGCCTCGAAAACCCGAAGGCGTTTCATGACCAGCCTGCACATGTGCCCGCGTTGGAGGACCAAACGCCTTATCAACTTTGCGCAGCCTTGAAGACCCAGGGGTGGCAGTGGAAACTTTTCAAAGCAGACATCTCACCTCCGTACGTTTTGGGCGGAGACCGTGTGTGGTACAGTCAGGGCACCCTTGTCTCGAAGGATTATATGCTCTGTTTGCTTCGATCTGAGTCTGTCCTTCAGGAAGGACAGCGTGTTCACCATGGGCAGAAAGCAGCCTACTACCGAACGTTGCTCCAAGGCCAGTACGCCCACGCTGAAGGCATGTTGTGCATCAAGAACAAGCAAGAACCTCGCGTGGCCATTGAAGACGCTTGCCCGGCAAGAAGCTTAGAATCTCTAGGTGACATGATGCCAGAAGATGACTTGCTTTGGCAGTCCCTTGCGCTGAACGAAGAACCGACTCTGCCAACTCAGCCAGTGCCCAAAGCAAAACAGCCGGCGAAAGCCAAGCCACAGCCCAAAGCCAATGTGTCACGCAAGAGGCAACGTCGAGGGTCAGGTGCCACCGACAAGGATGACTCAGATGCGAGCTCGGCTTCTCCGAATTCTTTCGCAGACCTTTGGGATGTAATTTCGGAAAAGGCCTCCAGCGGTCTTCCAGATGATGTACAAGACTACTCTCCAAGCCTGCCAAGCCCTGTTCCTGAGAACACTGCAGATGCCAGAGGCCCCATGGACATTGCTTCAGGTGAGAGTCGGCGATTGGATGAGCAAGCTGGACCAGGGCATGTAGATTCACCAACGGCCTTGGATGCCCCTGTACCAAGGCCTGCAGTACGCATGGTTCGTCCTGAAACCATATCTGCGTGGGGTGGGGCGAAGTGCAAGATTACATGGCGTGCTCCCGGTAGGGACTGTGTTCACGGTGCATGGCAGGCCAAGTGCCCCTATCATCGGAGAAGTGCAATTGCAGCTTGCACCAAATCATTGAATCTAGCAGAAGATACAGATGAGCAGCGCGAACTTACTCTTCGAATGGTGAAGAATTGGCTCTTGCAGGCACGTTCTTTTGATCGTGCGTGGAAGCATCAGCAATGGAACCCAAGATCATATGAATGTCCTTCAGAGCACATTTTGGACATTAAAGCTGAACAAATGCCAGCACTGTCTGAGGCAACCCAAACTGATGATGAGTTAGACGCTCGAGCAGCTCGAGCAGCTCTTGCTTCGACTCCGACGCCAAAGGCCAAAGCCAAAGCAAAGTCGAAGCGGAAACCGAAAGCCAAACCCAAACCGAAGCAAACACAAGCGACGAAGCGGAGAGCCAAGCCGAAGGCAGGGCCACCAGCATCAGAACAGGGTAGTCAGGATGAAGCAGCAGCAGCAGCAGCAGCATCAGACCCAAACCCTTCTTCCAGCTCTTCAAGTTCAGACAGCTCGTCTTCTAGCTCTGAATCTTCCTCTGATTCTTGACTCATCTCACTTGCAGATCAGCACATGGTTCTTTCGACTTCGACCTCGATGAGCAGTCTCAGGCCAGGTCACGTGAGCTTCGTGCCTTCGTCGCCCCAAAATGAGGGTTGCCTTCCTGCAACAGTCTTGTTTCTGGGCTAAGTGGTGTGGTGGAAAGCCTTCACTTTTTGTAGGTCCCAGACACAGCCCCTTTCGGGACCCACAAACAAAGCTCCCAATCCAGCAAGACAGGTATCGTTTTTGTGGGTCCCAGACATGGCCCCTTTCGGGACCCACAAAAAATGCCCCCAACCTAGCACGATAGGTGTCTCAAGGCCCCAAAAAGGCTGAGACTCTCAGACACGTGGCGGGCTCCTAGGGTTGTAGGGTTTAGGGTTTAGAGTTTAGGGTTTAGGGTTTAGGGGGTTGTTTAGGGGGTTGTGAGGTACGCGAGGGTCATTGCGGGCTCTGGGGGCTGCAGGTTTGGGATTTCTTACACTGACAGTCCTTAGTCGGATTGTAATAGGTGGCGCTACAATCCCAATTAAGGACTGTTAGTATAAAGGGGAACATCCCAACCAAGTTATTAGGGTAAAACATATCCTCTTACAGTTTAGCATTCAAAGTGTAGTTACTGTAGTTTAGGCTCCCGAAGGCCCAAAGACCCTAGAGAGGTCCATAGGCCCCGAATACAAGGTTCTGAAACCCAGCCTCAACTTCCCTCCCAGCCAGAGTCAAACAAGCTTGTGCACCTTTCGCGCTTTCCTCGGGTCGGAGTGTGCGCAGAAGATGCTTTCGCGCAGGCGCGACTTCAGCTTCGACTTGATGTTTCTGGCCGGTTCAAGTGGAAGGCCAGCAGTTAGATTGTTTGGCGGTGTGCACGGGGGACCCCAAGCCCATCCGAAACTCCTCGCACCCCCTTCGCTTGGCAGGCTTCTTTGATGCTATTCTGAAGCGGTCCCTTGGGGGCCGGAGCCTCGTTGTGCCGAAAAGACTCTCTTTGCACTTCAGGAGTTGAGGTCCATGTTTATTTGTGAACCTATCCGGTGATTGGTTAGGTTCGTCTGGGTCATGCCTGTTTCTTGATTGCCTTTGAGGTCGAGGCCTACTGGGGCGAGCTTTGGCTGCGACTGCAAGGCTGGAGCAGTCACGACTCATGTCTTGTTGAAGGTCTAAGTGCGTGCCGACCCAACTGTGCTGTACCGTTCCTGTCAGATTTGTTTTGGGTAAGCGTAGCTATCTTCATGCTCGCAGGACGATGTTTTGCGCCAAAGAAAAATATAATATACAAGGGGTTTCTGTCGAAGCGTGCTGAAAACTTTTGCCATGACGAGTTCTGCTTCAAGTACAGCACGTGTTGCTTTTGAAAAGGTGCTCCTGCACGGGTAGGGAGCACCTATTATTTTTGCCTGCTCGGAAAGGTCGTCGGCCAGTGGGACTTCTTGAGCCGCGCCGGTCTGTGCCTGTGAGCAGCTGGCTTGCGAGGGGGAGTGCTGTAGTGCTGCAGGGATGTCTGCTGAGTCTGCTGGAGAGGGTCAATCATGAGATCTCTCTTAAGAACTCCCAGACTTCCCACACACACTTAGTGCTCTTTAGGGCCACTTTAGGGTTTAGGGTTTAGGGTTGAGGGTTTAGGGTTTAGGGTTTTATGGTTAGGGTTTAAGGTTTAGGCTTTAGGGTTCAGGGTTTAGGGTTTAGGGTTTAGGGTTTAGGGTTTAGGGTTTAGGCTCAAACCTCAACTTACAGGTCTGAAAGAACTCAAGGTGTTGCTTTCCAGATCCTGGCAGGCTGAGCAGGTGCTTTTGACAGTAGATTGCCTCTTTTCGAAGCAACCCAGTGTTCACAGGCACTTGAAGTGGCTTGATTTCTGAACCAACCTTAAAATCCTCAAAACCCAAGCTTTCCTTTGAATTTCTTTAAAGTTTAATGCTTTCGGTACGGTTCTGTCAGGATTTGAAGAAGTCGGCGTTGGTGGAAGGGCAAGGGCCAGAACGGGAGAAAGGTGGGGGGGTGTCGGAAGGATTTGGGAGGTTTTCGGGAGATTTTCGAGGCGGAAACATGTGGGGAGTGGGGCGGGGAAAGCCCGAGAAGGTCCCGAGGGGGTCCCGGGAAGGTCCCGGGAAGGTCCCGGGAGGGTCCCGGGAAGGTCCCGGGAGGGTCCCGGGAGGGTCCCGGGAGGGTGCCGGGAGGGTCCCGGAAGGGTACCGTGGGTTTCGGGAAGGTCCCAAACCTCCAAATGACTAAAAGCGTGGTTGAGGGATGTGGAGTTGATTTTTCGTGATTTTCTGAATTTTTCGCGACCAACTGCCACCCTTGAACCGTGAACCCTAAACCTTCCCTAAACCTGAAAGCCAAAACCCCGAAATTTGTTAATACTCTCACAAAGCCCTCAAAACAGTCCTAATGCACCTCCGAGTGCCAAGATGCGATGCCTGACAAAGATGAGGCCAGCGAATTAGCGTAGCAAACGCTCTGGAGTCTTTGCCTGTGTGCGCTTTCAAAGTACTTTGCACACGCTTCCATGTTCCGTCAGTTCCATCCTTCTTGTTTGCCAGATGTCGCATCGCGCGAGTCCTTTGGGTCGAAGTTCGAAGAGTGATGTCTGGTGTTTGGCCTGCGCTTTACTTGTGCTCGAGAGTTCTCCGCTCTGTTTGGCTCAGTTAGAACAATGACTTGGTCCATTGGGAATGACGAGGGTATGTGGTTGCGGAAGTGGTGTGTGCTCTTATCGTGAGTGGGTCTGTGAGAGAGGAGACGAGAGCGACAGCACGGGATGCGCAATCGCACACTTACTTGCTTACGTACGTACTTGCTTCTTGCCTACCTACACAGAACCCAAAACTGCTCGCTTGTCAGCATGGAAGCTCATGATGGAGATTTCCAGCGCTTGTTTCTATGGCCGCGTGAGTTTGTCCAGAAGATGGCGACATACTCCGCCCAGTGCCTGGGTGTCCTTGTCGACAAGTATCGTGATGGCCTGTCTATTGTCACAGATTTCTCGGGTGTTGGCAGTGTTGAGATCGCATGCTCATTCATCGAACATGGGCTGAGAGACTCAGGCCAGTGTCAGGAAACTTTCTCGTCGTCTCAGTTCACTGGTCTACACTGCCAACGAGCATCTGATTCCAATCCAGCTTGTCGCAAAATCTTGATGCTTGACGCTTGCAGTCATGAAGGTGAAGGTGCCTCGGGCCATGCCCCTGGCTGTGTCTTTGGGTCGCTAGAAGAAAGAATCGCGCCTGAAATTTTGCAGAAGCTTCACAGCCTACAAGCAACTTGTGTGGCCGGAGCCGAGTCTGATCTTGATGGTGTTGAGGATGCAACCCTGCAGAAGAACCTCCATCACAGATGGGGCAGACAGTTCTTGAAGTTGGCTGTGGAGGCTTTGCAAGACTCGGGTGCTGAGCTTCCAGCCACTGTTTGGTGTCATCGACATCAGAGGGCCTGTCGATTCCATGTGAGGGACGAGCAGGCTGGTGCCACCCTCGCTGCCGGTGGACCTCCTTGCATCGATTGGTCTCAGATAGGCTTGCGACTGGGGTGGCTTGGACGTGGGGCCATCCCGTTTTTGCTGTGGGCACACGAACGATGGCTTTGTCGTGAACGAATCATCCTGATGGAAAATGTGCCTGGCATCGATCATGACAGCTTGAGTGTCGTCTTCCCATGCTATCACATCACAGTCTTTACCGTGTCTCTTGCGCAGTTCGGTATTCCAGCCAACAGGGAGAGGGTGTACATCGTGATGCTCTTGCAAGGGACTTCGTGGCTCTTGCAAGACCCTGAGGCTGTGTTTCGTGAGATTTTCACAGAAGAGCACCTGTTAAGCAGTGCCTGCCAGTTCTTCTCAGCACCGCAGGACATTGTCGACAGGAACCATTCTTGGCAGGCTGTGACCCGAGGATTGCCAGGCGTTTCTCCGACCGGCAGGGCGTGGCAGGCAAAGCATGTCATGTCCATGACAGAGGTGAAGCGAGTCCGTGCGTGGGAAGAAAGGGTTCGTGGTGATCTCCAACTCGGGCGAAACCAGAGAGCAGACGTGTATATGAATGCATCGCAGAGTGCTGAGCGCTGTGGGGTCATGTACCGGCTGCCAACTCTTATCACAAATGCTCACATCTGGAGCATGCGCTTGCAGAGGCTGCTGTTAATCCCAGAGATGTGGGAAGTGCAAGGCTTTGCAATGTTCGAGAAGGGCATTCCTTCCAAGTACATGTGCCCCTTCCGCAGCTGTGTGCTAGATACCCTTGCTGCGCAGGAGTCAACGGAGCAGACTGAGGCGAAACGTACATCTCGCCGTCGCAAGTTTCAGCAGGACTTGCAGCTCAACCATCAGGACTTGCGAGTGATGGTTGGAAACAGCATGAGCCTGCAGTCTGTCGGGGCTATACTCTTATTCACCTTGGCATTCGTGCGTTGATTTCGTGTACAGACAAAGCGGCAAGAGCGCAGCGGCCGACAGAGAGACTCGTAGAGATAGGGCGAGAGTTGCGTGTGTGTCTGCGTTCAAAAACGGGGTGCTTTTTTGTTCTGTGTGTGGCACACTCTTTTTTTGCGACAACGATGTCTTCATGCTGCTCATGCCAGCCACGCTTTGAGCTGTGTATGTCTGTGCGTGCCGGCTTGAACTATCGAGGTTTTTCTGTAGCACTGTAGGTCCGGTCAAGGCAGGGCTGCAGTTGTGAGTATGACTATGAGAGGGGAGGAGGATGGGTTTGCTGGGGCCCTCCTCGATCCTGGGATCGGCGCGGACTCAAGGAAGAAGCGTCGCACAGAGCTCGCAAGCTTTGTCGAGGAACCAAAAAGCGGAGATGATTCAGGCGAGTCATCTAGGGCCAAGAAGAGGAAGGACAAGTTCCAAGAGAAGCGAGACAGAAAGAAGCTTGCGAAGGAGAAGAAGAAAGCAGAAACAGCAGCGTCAGCTGCAAGTGGGGCAACCAAGAAATGTTCCGAGTGCAAAAAAACGCTCCCGCTGGCCCAGTTTTGGGAAGATCAATCGAAGTGCAAAACATGTTCGAAAGAGAGGAAGGCTCTTCTTGACATAGCCAGGCGCCAGGGCGAGCTGGAGTGGTACAAGAGCTTGGACGAGAAAGCCCACTCCGATCTCAGCAAAGGATACAAAAAGGCGAAGGCTCAGGCTGAGAAAGATCGGTCGAAGGTGAAGTTCTCTGTCAAGCGCTACAAAGAAAGTGTCGTAGCCAGTGCCGGATCGCGCGGAGAGAGTCGCAAGCGTCTTATGAACATGGTTCAATACGTGGCCTGGGCCACGTCAGACGAAGGAGAAAGCCTGACAGAAAAACAGGCAGGTTTGAAGTGGGATAGCATGATGCTTGACCCGGCTTTCAAGAAGGAGGGCCCAAGAGGCCCCAAGCAGAAGATCTATGTTCCGCTTTTCAAAGACATTGTGGACTACGAAGATGTCAGCCTGGTGCTCATTTTGCTTGCTGCTGCCTTGAGTGTGAGACTGAACGAACGGGCGAGTGGCGGAGAGGGAGAGAGGGAGGGAGAGGGAGAGGGAGAGGGAGAGGGAGAGGGAGAGGCAGAGGGAGAGAGGAGGGGAGAGGGAGAGGAGAGGGAGAGGAGAGGGAGAGGGAGAGGGAGAGGGAGAGGGAGAGGGAGGGAGAGGGAGAGGGAGAGGAGAGGGAGGGAGAGGGAGAGGGAGAGGGAAGAGGAGAGGGAGAGGGAGAGAGGGCGAGGGAGGAGAGGGAGAGGGGAGAGAGGGAGAGGGAGAGAGAGAGAGAGAGGAGGAGGAGAGAGAGAGAGAGCGAGGAGAGAGAGACGAGAGAGAGAGCGAGAGAGAGAGAGAGAGAGAGAGAGAGAGAGAGAGAGAGAGAAGGGGAGAGGGAGAGGGAGAGGGAGAGGGAGAGGGAGACAGGGAGTGGGAGAGAGGGGAGGGGGAGAGAGGGGGAGGGAAGGGAAGAGAGAGGGGAGAGAGCGGGAGAGAGAGGGGAGAGGGGGAGAAAATGATGTGGTGAAAAAAGTACGACTTGAGTCAAGGCAGACAGCGCCAAGTTGAACAAGAAGGCCGCTTGTCCAGCAACTTGACCCAGGAGCAACTTGAAGAAAGAGCTCGCAACCTCGTCTTCAGTGGCCATGATCAAGGCTTCGGCAGCGACATCAGTGCTACGGCTGCCAATCTTGTGTCTGGCGGTGATGAGGATGGCAATGAAGGGCTTCGGGCTTCGGTAGCTGTTTCAAGTCTTCAGGGTCTTGCGAATCCCCGGCGCTTGTCAACAGGCAGTGGCAGCAGGGCAACTGTTGACAGCAGCAGTGGTGACGATGATGCAGATGCTGAGCCTTCTGATGGCAAAGGTGGCCGGGGAGCGGCTAAATGGTTCGATGTGGCTTCAGAAACGCAAAAATTCAAACGCCGTGTCGAGACTTTGTGTACAAGGATGAAGACGCGCATGAACCAGCTGAGCCAGCAAATGCAGGATCAGCTCGATGTTTCCCGCAACATGGCACACGTGGACTTGGTGGAAACCAAGATCGTTCACCATCGCCTTCGAGCCCTGAGGATCATTGCGTCGGGAGAGCAGGCCGAGTATTCGACGTACCTGGAGGCAATCGCTGCGACTCTTGTCTTGCGGCTACGCGGTCTTGTCAGTTTTTGTGCTCATGTGTCCTGGCCATTTCCATGTTCTGCATTCATTGCTTTCATCTCAGGAAGGTGCCGGACACAAAGAGTGTCAACACGGCAGGAAGTGCAAATGATTTCTTGTTGACAGCAACGGGCCCATGCAATGACTATGAGTCCTTGATGACAGTCAGCGCACTGAAACAAAGCTTCCTTAGTATTACCACCCTGCAAGATGAGAAGGACTTGAAGACTCGTGTGGATGCAATGAACAAGTGCAACTCTCAATGGGAGGAACTCCTTGGGTCGTGCAAGAGTGCTTTCACCGAGCTCAAGAAAGTCAGCAACCAAAAGAGCACCAGCGCATCAGCCAAAGGCAAGTCCAAAGCAAAGGCAAAAGCCAAGAACAAAGCGAAGACGTCAGCTGAAGCCTATGGCATGTTCGACACCGACGCGGAGTTCAAGATGTGTCCATCCTCAGAAGCAGATGATGAAACTTCCCAGGTGGATAAGCTGTTGCTGGGGACGCCCTTCAAAGGCGTGCTTGACAAAGCGTCCGACTTCATATCCGACGCTGCTTGCAAAGCCTTGGACAAGTTCGCCAAGGAATTCGCAAGCAGTGACATTCGTGTCATGACAGGCAAGGCGCAGCAGGAAACAGGTCCCTTGAAGAATGAGCTCAGGCCTGGTAGATCGGATCGGCTTAGAGGGGTAGACTACGTTAGAGTAGACGCAGATCTCAGTTGTTCATCTGGGCAGGGGTGCGCTAACTGGCTTGCTTCCGCGCGACAAGCGCATCATCCTCCAGGAGCAGGTTCCCGATCAGTTGGCCATGCAGAGCTTGATGGAGCCATTAATGTGGGCATCCATATCCGGGCAGCGTTCCTGTCGCATGGAGGTTGCAGGCTTTCCGGTCATCCGTTACCAGCACGCTGGGTCACGCAGTCTCGTCATGGTTTTGGCTGAGGTGCTCAGAGGGTGGCTGGTGGCGAGAGAGGAGCGAAAGAAGGAGCAGGACCGCGAGAAGATCCTGTATGCTCACTTGCATACCCATTTCATGCACCTGTCCGATGACGATTGCGTGGAGCTTTGTCTTGCGCACCCCGATAGCGTTTGGTACGCGTTCCTCAGCCCGGGTGAATAGATCTATATCCCTGCGGCGTGCATTGTTGCGGAGAAGACAGACGGCGACGTGGACAACATCGGATTGAAGCTTACCTTCGTCGATGTGGAGGACACACGCGGGCTCAGATCCATGCGACAGGAAGCCATCGACTCGAAGCGCAAGCTGCCTGTTCTGGATGCCCTCTTTCAGTTTATCGAGTCGTCGTCGAAGGTGAGTGTGGAGAGTTGAGACGAGGGGCTAGGGTAGTGAGTGCTGGGGCTTCTCTAAATTCGCAATCCTTGTAGTATCTCGTGGCTGGAGCAGTTTGAGAGACTTATGAGTACACTGCGCGCCTGGATTTGGTCCTCAGGTTCAGTTCAGGCTGATCGAAGTGGAGTGTTGCTTCCGAAGGTTTGTTTGGGCTGTCTTTTTGTAAGTTTAAGGAACCACGCACAAACTTCTGAAGTTTCGAGCAAATTTGAAGAGTTTGTACATGCTGTCAACCTTGAAATCGTTCGCCCGAATCCTTGTGGCAGACCTGCTGCTTTTGCCGAGTTTCACCTCATACCTTTCAGACCTTAAAGTCTTAGCATGGGTTCCGAGATGTACCACCAATGCTATCTAAAGACTTTTTGCGCACTGCCTCAGGCGCCTGCATCCGAAGAAGTCTCAAAGTCAGGGCCAGAGGGTTCCCAAGTGCCGGCAGCGGCAGAGGGCTCCAAAGTGCCAGCAGAGGACGCAGCCAAATCCCAAGTACCACCAGCAGAGGACGCAGCCAAATCCCAAGTACCACCAGCAGAGGGCGCAGCCCAGTCCCAAGCACCGCCAGCAGAGGGCTCAGCCAAGTCCCCGGCGGAGTCCCAAGAACCGCCCCAATCCCAAGTGCCAGAGTCAGGGAAAGGTTCGTCGCCGTGGCGCCGCAGAAAGGACCGTCAGGCAAGTCCGTGTGGCAGGGATCGAGGTTGCTATGGTGTGTTGTTGAGATGAGAGGCTCAGACAAATGTGCAAAGCTAGGTGTCAGTTGTGGTTTGCAGATTGTATTGTTGGCAGCTAAGCGTTTTTCCCCCTAACACTCCATGTGAAATATCCCTGCTGCGCGACATAGTTTTGTGCCCGCGCAAGGAGCATGTGTACTGACCAGTAGTTAAGGTATCAATCGCCATCAGTACTGCTACACACCCCATGAATGTCCCATGGCAGGAGCTCAAGGAGGGTTCAACGCACGAAGAAGAGAAGGACAGCGAAAGGGCTTGCTGTCAAAGCGCAAACCCTAAACCCAGAGCCCTAACCTTTAGCCTCTTAAACTCTCTAAAGCTTAAGCCCTCAACCCTATGCCCTAAGCCTTAAACTCTAAACCCTAAACCCTCAAGACGAAAACTAGACATTGTGCCTGGAGTCATTGAAAGGCCTTGCTGTCAAAGCGCAAACCCTAAACCCAGAGCCCTAACCTTTAGCCTCTTAAACTCTCTAAAGCTTAAGCCCTCAACCCTATGCCCTAAGCCTTAAACTCTAAACCCTAAACCCTCAAGACGAAAACTAGACATTGTGCCTGGAGTCATTGTGAATTTCCAAAGTTGTTTGCCTAAACAGCTGACAGGCCGAGCGATGTTAAGTAAGTCAATCAATCAGGCACCCAAAACAAAAGACTTCAGAAGAGCCCTGAAAAAAGTCCGCCCAAAAGGTGCCGGAAGGCTCCCCAAAAGAGCCCAACAAGGCCACCCCACATTTTTTGGGGCCCACACCCTACGCCCAGCAAGGTCAAAAACCCCGTACAACTTCTATAAACCTACATGCCAGGACGAAGAAAAGACTGGCTGAAGCTTGAGATGGTTCCTCCTGGCTATAGCCACATGCATCCGTGCCGCGCGCTGTAGCCTTACAGACCCGCCGTTAAGCAACCTAGGCCCCCTCCCCTCAATATACAACCCTAAAGCCCAAATCAATGCCCGTACGCATCCTTGTCATTTTATGGCCAGCGCCAGCCTTCTACGCCCTCAACTCTTAAACCTTGCAGTAGAGAGTTGAGTTGCGCTCGCCACTCCCAGCCAAGCCCTTAACGATGCAGCGGCAGCGCCAGCTAGTGCCATTTGGTGGCAGTTTTGCTTTTGCCATGCCCGTGGCCAATGCCAGCCTTTGCCCCCGAACACCCTAAACCTTTAAACCTCGCAGCGGTGAGAGGCGACGCTCCCAGCCTTCAGCAAACCCTACAAGCCCTGAACCTTAACGAGGCAGTGGCAATGCCAGTTAGTGTTTGTGCCAGTTCGTAGCAGCTTTGCTTCTTTGAACAGCGCGAAGCCGTGCGCAGGAGTGGAAAATCCGGTGATTCAATGCCAGCTTTTTCTCCCGGAGCCCAAAACCCCAAACCCTCAAAACTAACTCTTTACTGGGCCATTCAATATTAATTGGGTCGCCAGTGCTAAGAGATTGGAGGCAGTAAAGCTTCAGTCGTCTTTCAGGCCGCTCCCATGAATAAGGGTTGATGCCAGGGGTAATGGGAAAGACTCAGGACACCTATTTTCACATGGTTTCGCGTTGGTCTTGTGTCCATGCTGGCTTTACCCTACCGGAAGCCTCCTAAAGCTAACTTTAAGAGGCTTTCTGGAAATCTAACACATTGGAGTACACGTGCAAGGGGGAGCAAGTGGCTCTGCAGGACCCGGCCTGGACCACTCACGCCAACAAGCACGAGCAGATGCAGAAATGTACGACACAGCAACGGCGAATCCGCCGCCAGCCGACGAGGAAGTGCGAATGAACCTGATTACGCGGATGTTCGAACAAAAGGGGCTCAAGTGCAGCCCGACTGAAGCGAAGGCCATAAACTCTATGGTTCTACAGTTGGGAGGTAATGGCAATTCAGCTGTGCCCTGGAGCATGGTGAATGAAGGCATTATCTTGCCAATGGACCAAGAGCCGCCGATGTTCGCTCAGGCTGAGCATTTGCGTTTCTTTGAAAAGCTGGAACAAGTGAAGCCAAAGCTTCTGGTGGGCAAGCTGCCCACTGGACCCTTCCAGTCAGTACAACGTGCTTTCGACATGACCAACAAGATTGGAGTCGAGACCAGACGCGGAAATTTGAGGAAGGCCCGATCTCAACTGGGGCTTTGCTTTGAGGCCTTCGAGGCACAGAAGGAAGCCGGAAACTACTTCCTCTATGAGTGCCCAAGGGGAACTAAGTCCTGGGAGCATGAACTTGCTCAAAGGATGGGTTCGTACTTGGTTGAAGGCCCAATGTGCAAGTGGAAAGTTGACGAAAGTGGAAAAATGATTGCAGGCCAATCCGGCAAGAAGCGAACCCGCTGGATTACTAATTCGGCGACGGTTGCAACAGCGCTGGAAAAGCTATGCAAGGGCAATGCGAAGGTGTGGAACCGAACGCTAAGCTTCAAGGAGGGGATCGTGACGGCCAAGGCCGAGTATCCTCCGAAGCTTGAAAGAGCACTACTGGCAGGAGTGCGAGCACAACTGGTTCTGGATGGAGAAATGAAGGAGGTGGGCCATGTGGGTGGACCTGACCCACACGAGGAGCCACCGCTCGAAGAGTATCTCCATGATACCTTACCCAAGGCTGGGCAGCTTCACGTAAGCGAGCCCGTCATAGACGCAAACACAGGGGCACAACTTGATGCCAAAAAGGTTGCGGAAGCAAGAGCGTCAGAACTTGCCTGGGTGAAAAAGCAAGGTGTGTACGAGAAAGTCGAAGAGAGCGTGTGTTGGGACGAAACAGGTCGTCCGCCCATAACCTTGAAGTGGGTAGACCGCAACAAAGGGGATGATGTTCGGGAAAACTACCGCAGTCGTTTGGTAGTCCGCGAGGTCAAGTCACAGGGACAAGCGGCGTTGATACCAGACTACGCACTGTTTTCCTCAATGCCACCTCTGGAAGGATTGAAGATCCTATGCAGTCTGCTGACGACACTCAAGAGGTCAAAGAGCGGAAAGAAGCTCACGCTGAAGCTGACAGACATATCACGTGCACACTTCTATGGAAAAGCAGAACGACGTGTGTTTGTCACACTTCCCGAGGGAGATGAAGCTCCCGGCTTTTGTGGTCTGTTGAAACGGACCATGTATGGCACCCGTGATGCCTCAGCTGTATGGCAGAGATCGTACACAAGCCTGCTACGCAAGCACGGGTTTGTCGTGGGAAAAGCATATCCGTGTACCTTTTATCATGCCGAAGCCGACGTGAGATTATTGGTGCATGGGGATGATTTCCTAGTCTTGGCAGACGAAGATGGACATCGCTTTGTAGACAAAGTACTGTCTGAAGAGTACGAGTTCAAGTGTGATGGCCACATAGGACCTGAGTGTGAAAAGGATAGCATGACTGTCCTGAACCGGGTCGTGAGCTATGACAGCCAGACAGGAACTGTTACGTACGAAGCGGATCCAAGGCACGCGGAAGCCCTAGTGCGCGACCTTGGACTGGAGTCTGCGAAGGCGGCCAAAACGCCAGCAGAAAAGAAAAAGGGAAGTGACCTGAAAGCGATGCTTGAAGCACAGCCGTTGAATGCCGAACTTCAGAAAGCATATCGGTCTCATACGATGAGGGCAGCGTTCCTTGCGCAGGACCGTCCAGACATTGCCGAGGCTACGAAGAGCTTAGCGCGGCACATGAAAGAACCCACAGAGTGGGCATGGGCCGATCTGAAGAGGCTTGTCCGCTACTTACGCGGAAATCCACGGCTGATCTACGAGTACCACCCGCAACGGTTCAGCAAAGAGATTGTGATGTACTGCGACTCAGACCACGCTGGTTGCCTCATCACGCGGAGGTCAACCACGGGACTGGTGACAATGCTTGGATCGCGCTGCGTGAAACACTCAAGCAACGTGCAAAGCACGATCTCCCTCTCGAGTGGAGAGAGCGAGTTTTACGCTATAGTTCGAGCAGGGTCAATAGGTCTGTCGCTACAGGCGATGCTAGAAGACTGGGGATTAAAGGTCGGTCTGCGGATTCGATCTGATTCCTCGGCGGCCCGAGGCACTACCCAGCGCCAGGGCCTGGGTCAAGCACGCCACGTACAAACAACATACTTGTGGGTGCAAGAGAAAGTCGCCACGCGAGCTCTGGAGCTAGAGCGTGTAGGCACGGAGAAGAACTACTCCGACATCTGCACCAAACCAATGCCCGAAGTGGCAATGCTCAAACACCTCAAGAACATGGGATTGCGTTTTCATGTTGGACGAGCCGGAGCAGCCAAACGGCTCGTGTGAAGCCAATGGGTCAAATGACCACCTGGCTTAGGAGGGGTGTTTAGATTTGTAGGTGTCACACAACATGTTTCACAATGAGTGAGCATACACATGCGACATTGGCTCAAGCCGTCAAAAGTGATTGCACCTGCAGTGTTAGTTCTGCCTTAAACTCCGTTCATTAATCCCAAAACGCCTAAGCCCTCTTCATGGCGGGCCCAACGTGTGGGAATCTGTCCCCATGATCGGGCAGATCTGACGCTTCGATAGCCGGCTCAGGCACTTCTTCGCCGATGTTGTGGAGAGGTCGACGCTTTCGCTGTAGTGAGCCCTTAGGGTTCAGGGTTTAGGATTTAGAGTTTAGGGTTGCATCCTACTCTAGGTTCTGCAGAGATGGTTATGAGTCGATGTTCTGGCTTTTGGCTGTACACGGAAATTTGTGTGACCTATTGCAACTCTTCATGCTGCTCGTGCTTTTTCAATGGGAGCAAAAATTCCGCTTCGTTTTCTATGTTGGACTTGTTAGATCAGCTATTCGGCGGTTTGTTGCAGATTGTTGATGTGTAGATGGGTCAGCCAGAGCGTCCCTGGCGTCTTTTCTACACACGCTCATGGCTTGAGATTGAACATACAAGACGTGTGCCGTGCTTTTTTCGCTCAGGATCGACGGGGTTTCCAGCTCAACCTCTCCATCATTGCCTTCAGTCGGTAGATTTCGCCCAAGAGGCTTGACCTTCAGCTACATTCAGCTAATGTTGATCTCTTGTAATACTCAAGGTCCAGGGTTTTGGATTAGGGCCAATACCACTGCCGTCAATCCTCTCAGCCACTGTGGAGGGTTCTCATCCTTTCACTTCGGCGCCGGTCCATGTTTCGAGGAAGTTTGCGCAAAGGATTGGGCGGAGGTGCGGCCAAAGCTATGCAGAGCCGCCCCCAACCCCCGCTTTATTTTGGCATGTGGTGGAATCGAAGCTTTAGGGCTGTAGGGTTTGGGGAGGAAGTCTTCAACCCGACATCCCAAAGGGCAATCCCTAGAGCCTCCAGACCATGGAGATAGCCGTAGAGTTCTTGCGCCACTATCCATGAAGCTAAACCCCCAAACCCGGCAACCCCCAAACCATAAGCTCGAAACTTCTAAGCCCTAAACCCTAGCCGTGAACCGTAAACTCTAAACCCTCAACCTCTAAGCCCCTCAACCCAGAGGCTCAATTCCCTCTAAAGAACAACGCTCAGCGTTCGTTCCGAGATCACACACTGCTTGATGAGGAGGCTTTAGGGTTTTAGGGTTTAGGGCTTAGGGCTTATTACGGAGCTCAAACCATATTCTAAAATGTTCAAGGCCTCCATTCGTGCGTGTGGCGATCGTTTTCCAACTTCCGCACTCCCCCACATGCTTTCAGTCGGAAGCTAAAGTACACCCTTTAAATGGCCCAAACCCCAGTTTAGGGTTTAGGGTAAAGGGTTGATAGTTAAGGGTTTAGAACTTAGGGTGCAAAAACCCTAAGGCCTAAACTTTACAACCTAAAAACCATGAGGGGGAGGCCCCGTGCCAGATCTTTGCGAAATTGACCAATGAACTGCTCCACCGGCGGTTCAGAAGCTTTGCTTCTTCTGCGAGTTTGTAGGGTGTGCATGATGTGAAGCTCCCGAGCTGCCAGTCTGCGACTGCTCTTGGCCATGCACATGGAATGGTAGAAGCGTAGCTTTTAACAACGCTGTAGCTGGACTTGTTGATTTTGAACCGCCATTATCTCCAACGTTGCAGATGACCGGCAGTAGGAGACAGTTTCAGCGTCAGTTCACAAAGTACTGTACTCGAGACTGGGAAGATGGTACGAGGTTGAGACACAACAAGTGGGGCATTACTTGTGCCGCAGTTCCCAGATTGGAGCGGACCTTGCAGGGCAGGTGGAGATCAAAAAGTGACAACTGCGATCAATGAGGGCTAGCTGCAATCGAGGAATCGTCAGCCGAAGCGTTTAAGCAAATTGCAGCAGCATTTCGCATGCAAGTTGCTGACCGACATGCCTGCTGTACATGAGTACGCTTTGTATCCCATCTTGAAGCCGTCTTGATCTTGGAGCCAAGCCTTGATTCATTCATGCCCAGAGGAACAAGTCTTGAGCAGCCGACGTAAGTGTGCTGGCCTGTTTCCTTGGCTAAGGGCCCGAGGAGGACTTTTGGCTCAACCCTTGGGCACTCACATGCCACAGTGCCCAGTTCTTCCCCACGGGACACCCACAGGACCTTGTCTTTCCCGGAATTTTCTGAAACGCAACTCAGAAGGGTTGAGTGAACGCAGACCAAAAGCAGCCAAATCAGATGGAAAGGCCTTGCTGGAATCAGTTTTGCACTGCAATTGGCACGCAATGTAACGAGTCATGCGGCAAAAGGAAAAGGCCTGATGGGAGCTTCGTGGTGCAACACAAGAAGGACTCTGGGCATAGATGCCCTTGTGCGCAACCGTGGGGCAGATGGGAACGCGTGACGCAAGTATCTTGCGTCCGAGGGCAAAGCTTGCCGCAGCTGGAAACACCCCGCATGACTTCCCAGATTACGTAGATTCACTGCTGTCCTTCGAGCAATATGGTGATTGCAATTTGCGCCACAGCAGCAGCACCAGATCCCAAAGTTCTGGGCAGCCAACGAAGGAGAGCTTGCGGGGCCTGCCAGAAGCGCGCAAGGCCCTTAAAGTTGCGCTGGCCCAATGTAAGGACAACGCCTCAAGTGCGCGTGTCTTGAGTCTGGTTCGGCAAGTTCAGGACAAAGTGCGAAGCATGTTGACATGCTTTCGCCACCCAACGGTGGAGCAGTTTTGGGAGTCGGTGGTGGCCATGTGCCAAAACATATTGGACAGAGCAGAGGCCGTCAGCTGCCCGGCTACAAAGGCGCCGGTCAAACGGGCACGTCGTGCCGTGAAGAGGTCAGAGCGGGTTGATGCAGGAAAGAAGCGGGAAGATGCGTTCATGTCCAACCTCGTCGCGCTTTTTCAATGCAACACTCCTTGTTTGCAAACCCTGCACGCAGTGCGCGAGGTATATTCGCGACATGCAACGCAAGCCCCTTTTGCAATGGATCTGTCTGATATAGCCCGCTTCGTTGATTTCTTGGCCGACACCGCGGCCAAAGATTCCTTCACCCCAGCGCCGCATTTCAACTTAAGCCACATGAAGAAACCTGCCTGCCATTTCCGCACCGACAGCCAGAAGATCATAGTCGCCGTGGGGCCATCTGAGTGACGTAGCGAAGTTTGAGAAGCGTACAGGAGCCTGACGCGAAACACCTGAGAACAGGTTGAGGGTGAACTCACGTGCGTTCAGGAGCGTGCTCATGTTGCACAGGCGAACTGAGCTTAAGCCTGTGTCATTGAGCTATCTGTCAGCCTGTGCGAACAGGAGCGTCTTGCCAATCTTCAAAAGATCCGTTACGCGAAGCCTTTGTTTGTTCCGGCGAGGGCTGAGCCTAGATTTTTTCCGGTGGTGTGGTTGTATGAAATAGAAAAAGGATTTGTTCAATCGGTGCTCTTGATGTTCTATTCACCGACGGCCCCCAAGGAGGGGCCTGTCATTCTGTCATTTTGTCATTCTGTCATGGGTCATTTGGGGGGTGCATTTTGGTGTCATTTCCGTATTTCTTTCTGAAACTCTGATGCCATGATCGAGCATCAGCATTCCGTCACGGGCCACTTGGAGTGCGAGACTTGCCTCACCTTCCTTGATTTTTGGTCATCTGGGTGCCCCTCTCCTAAGCCTCACCACTGGCCCTCCCCCCCCCCCCTAACCCCTAACCCCTGACCAGGGACGCTTACCTCCCTAAACCCTGACCAGGAACCCTTAGCGGCTTCTCACTGCCGTCCTAAACCTTCACCAGGAACCCTTAGCGGCCTAAACCCTGACCAGGAACCCTTAGCGGCTCCTCACTGCCGTCCTCCTTCACCAGGAACCCTTAGCGGCTCCTCACTGCCCCCCTCCCTAAACCCTGACCAGGAACCCTTAGCGGCTCCTCACTGCCCCCCTCCCTACACCCTGACCAGGAACCCTTAGAGGCTCCTCACTTCCCCCCTCCCGAAACCCCCAAGAAAAGGCGTGTCATTCTGTCACACTTCCGACCTTGCAGGAATGAAGGCCATTCCAACTAAGGCTTCTGGCAGCCGGGCAGGGCCTTGTCATTCTGTCATTCTGTCATTCTGTCATTCTGTCATTCTGTCATTCTGTCATTCTGTCATTCTGTCATTCTGTCATTCTGTCATTCTGTCATTCTGTCATTCTGTCATTCTGTCATTCTGTCATGGTGGCCGGTTTCCCAAAAAAAATACGCAGAATGACGAGATCCGCCCCCAGACAAGCCATGACAGAATGACAGAATGACAGAATGACAGAATGACAGAATGACAGAATGACAGAATGACAGAATGACAGAATGACAGAATGACAGAATGACAGAATGACAGAATGACAGAATGACAGAATGACAGAATGACAGAATGACAGAATGACAGAATGACAGAATGACAGAATGACAGAATGACAGAATGACAGAATGACTTCCGGGTGGCTCCGGCTCTAGTTACCTTCGCCTCTATTCCCGGCAAGTCCGCAGTATGACAGAATGACAGAATGACAGACTGACAACGCCCCCTCCCAGCGGCCGCGGGTCTAGTTGCCTCGCCTCTATTCCCGGCAGCTCTACGCTGGGGCCACTGGTCGCGGGTTAAAGTCCCGCAGCTGCCTGACGGCTAGCGGCACAGGCGGGCGGGTGAGTCTCGCTTTAGGCTCCGCGCTTCCACGCGGCACGGGCAAGGCGTGCTTCAGTAGGGTCTCCGAGCCATCAGTGGCCCGCACCACCAGGGAATCATAAGAGCCCACATCCTTGGCAGCCCCTGGGGCTGGACCTTCTGCTTCTGGCGGTTTGCTGCCTCATTATGGCACGAAGAAATGCACGCGCGAAGCTGCCTTGCTGTGAACATTTTCCCACCCACCACATCCCCTGTACAGTTCTAACTCTGCCCGCAAATGTTTTTT